AAGATGATGCCTGCCTGTCCCATTGCCTTCATGACGTGTTCAGTGGTGTCTGGGTCTAGGACATGCTCAGCCGGGGGTGTAGTCGGTAAAGCTTCTTCTTTCAATTGCTTTGCATATGCTTCCGACTGATTGCCCAGCTGCTTATGCTCCTTGTCAATTGCCTCCTGAACAATCTTCAACTCGTCCAGTAGCATCTTGTAGCTTTCCTTAGCTTGATCCACCCGCTTCTGCAGTGATTGCTTCTTGGTCGTGAGCTGCCTCAGTTCACCCACAGTTGCCTTCAGCTGGCCAGTGACATCTACACTGGCTGCAGGAGCAGGTTTCAATAACCCTTCCACCACTTCTTTGACTTCTTTGGGCAGGCTCTCCAAGTGCGCCTTGAGCAGCTCTTCCAGAGGCTGGGGCTCAGGCTCTGGGGTGAAGTCCAGGCCCATGCCCTTGTGCGCTTGTTGGCATTCTGTCGGAAGTGACGACCAAGCCTGCCTCAGCGTCTGTTCAACCTCACTCTTCTGCTGCTTTGTCTTTCCCCCGAGTCCCAGGGGTGGTGCAACTTGGTGACGTGGTCTTCCTCGAAGGTTGGCTTTCTTCTTGGGTGACCAATCTGTCCTCCAGTTGCCATTGCTCTGTGGCCAAGCTGCCCCACACTTGGTGCATCCCCACCTGGTCGACGAGATCCTGTCATTCCAGATCCATGAGTTTGTGCACCCTTTGCAAACATGGTAGGCCCTTGCCTTGCGTCTCGGGTATTCCCATCCATCCATCATCTTCACTTCGTGAAGAACTCGACAACCTCCAAAATCAATGGCAAGGCCTCCCTTGATATAGGTCCCGTCAAAGACACCAGCAAAGATGTGGTGCCAGTGCCCTCGTCGGACTCAACGACCAGCGGGCTTGAGCCACCTTGAGCCAGGCTTGAGCCAAATCTTGAGCCACATCTCGCTCCCTCTCTCTCTCTCTCTCTCTCTCTCTCTCGATCGCCTTCAGACTGCAAATTCCAGTTATTCTGAGAACCCTTGCTTTGCCCAACAAGAAGTCATGACCTCAATGAGGTCCGCTGGTGTTCGGTCATCTCTGGTGACAGCCAAGGAAGCGTGGGGCCTGGGAAGCAACTTTGGCCGCCTCTGTGCTCATGCTCAGAAAGCGCTCTTGATGGGTGTGCGACACGGTCCGTGCGTGTGTGGGTGTGGGTGTGTGTTTTGCTCCATGCTCATCTATATACAACGAGTCAGGTCGCTTTGAAAATCGTGCCTTCAGGAACTTCAGGCTGCGATTCATCATCCACGTCGACCTCAATGTCCTTCAATTGGGTGGGTAAGGTTCATCAACGAAAGACCCCTTTCCCTCCCCAGCTGTGTCCTCGTCATTTTCGACCTCTTCCTCCCCCTGGCACTCAAATCAACCACAAGTTTTAGTTCCACCATGTTCCACCTTTCAATTCTTTCTATTCAAGACTAAGAACCGCACAACCCTTCTTCAAACAATTTGCCTCCTCCATGTAGTCGTGGTTAAGGAAAGCAGTGCCTGGATTGATCTCTTCCTGGACATCCCGACCACTGAATCATGACTGTGAGGAAGACCATCGGAGAACCAATGAGAATCACGCCTTGCAATCTAGATGGTATCTACTTCGCACTACCTCTCCTCTCGCTGCTGAAGGTGACCCACTTCCAGAACCAGCCGATCATAAAGATCCTCCTTATTGCAGACGCCACCAGACTGAGTCAGTAACATTCAGTAACTACAGGACAAGTGCGCAAACGAATCAGTCAAGAACTAATTATCTAGCTCAGGGCTGTGATGCAAATCAAACATGAGCCGAGAGCACTGCTGTGCCCTGGTTCTGCTTAGCCGACATGAGGACCTAAGAGGGATGGATTAAGAAACAGGGCCGAACACTACTGTAATTCAATGTGGCAACTGCAACAACACAACAGGCAAAACTAGAGCCGGCTCCTCAGCTCCTCGCCGGATCTCCCACACCCAGCTCGTAGCAATCATTCAAGTATGGCCCGATAAACCCATGCTCAGCTTTGTTTGCAATCAGGATGATCCTCAGCATTATGATGCACATGTACCACCCTCGAGCGGTCAAAGCACCAAGGAGTCACTAAGGGTTAGGCGGCACTTCTCTGGGAGTGTTGGTTTTGAACAGGTCGCGGTACTTGTCTGCCTCAGCAGAAGCGGGAACTTTGTTGCGATAAGCAGCTGCCCTCCATTCCTTGCTTTCCTCAGCGTGCTGCATTCACAGCACCTTCCCGCAGCATCTTCCCAATATGCTCATCAGCGGGCGTCACCTGGCAGCCGCACTCTGACAGTTGGCCAAAAGCAAGCGTTAGATTATATATATAGATTTTTGAGTACATTTTCTGGAGTTAGCTCTGCCCCAAAAAAAATGTGCATGGCGTACGCCCTCCTGAGCATCAATCACAAAGAGAATGGCTTGCGCCTTCAGCACAAAAGAGAAACAAAATTGTTGGTTTTTGCTAAAATATTAAAATCGCCGGGTTACGTCTGACTATTTGAGGGCATCTTATGCATACTTCACAGCACCTCCGCCACAGCTTTCCAGACATGTTCCTGCATCGACTGCCTCGGACCAACTCCCGGCGGCCGTATTATCTTTCAATAAGCATCAAACAGAAATATCCAAACCATAAACTTAAACAGAAAGAACATGCCCCGACACTTCCTTTTGAAACTAGACAAAACTTGTCACTACCCCTTACAATATCTCACCACCGAACGTTATGACCCTTCTACACCATTTTATGCTATTACTGGCTACGTACATATTTTTCCACAAAAAACAACTACTTTAGATATCATTAGTATACGAGATTGCTTTCGCTTTGCAAAACCAAATGACACATCTCCATTACATGCTTGGCGGCAACAAGGAGCTGTTCGACGTCTCTTTGGGCGTCTCCAAGCCCCCCGTATCAATGACCCGAAGCAACAACCTTGGGTTCTTGCCGAGCAACACAGCTACGACGTTGTTTTCTAAGAAGGCAACAGGACCCAGCCCAGCTGACAGCATTTTTCTATTAAGATTGTGACCTGTTTGAACTGAAACTAAATATTTCACTTTACACTCTAAATTTTCAACCGGTGAGTGGCACTTAGTGACTTAGTAAACTTCTTGCTGGGTGAGGTTGCAGGATGTGCGTCTGTGATCGTGTGTGATGGTACAGAAACCGGTGCCGAGTCCCAAGCCCGCCAAACACTGCGAGCGCATCTTTGCGGTCGCGTGTGGTTCCTGCGCTGGGAAGCGGGCGCTCGTAGGTTCGTACCCACAAACCGAATACAGTTGGACAAATTCAAGAAACTGGTTTGAACAAACACGCTGCATTGTGACATGTCATTGTGCGTGTAACCCATGGAGTGACAAGAGCCTTTTGGGTTGCTTCGTTACAATTCCAGCTTGATGCTCTCAGCAGCGGGGTTCGGCATGATTGTGGGACCGCACTCAACGAAAAGCTACTACGATCATGGTACACCGAGTCTGATCAACTCGGCGCGCCTGTGTTTTACCATCCCAGTGTCAGTTTCCACCGGGGGGTCCGCACCGCCAAATTACAGATGTAAAGCGGCGTTCCCAACCCCCACAGGTCCTGTAATTTGAAGGTCCCAACGTTCATGCAAAAATCCTAATTTGACTATCCCTGACGTCAAATCGATGTCCATTTCGACCACTTTTTGCTGATCACTCTGCTCATAAAAGCATACCCGTGTAGGATTCGCACAGGGGGTCCTAAGCACAGCTTTATAGATATAAGCTGGCAGACCTGACCTTCAGGTTCTATAAATTGAGCTGGGCTAACGTAAAGCTGGACAACATATAGTGAACCTACCTGACATCAGGTGCACAACATCTTGACACATTCTTTGTGCCTTATGTCAAAGAACAAAGACAATTTGAGATTGCCATGGACTTGATGAATGCAATGTATGTTGAGCGAACAGGCTCATAGTGATGCTTTAACATATCTGAAAACGTGAGCGCGGAATCATGTCGTACTTCAGCACAAAACTGCTGATGTTTATTTCAGCTTGGTGTAATACATCTGTGTCCTCTGTACAATACGGACCTGACCCGCTCAAAAGGAAGGGCCTAAAATGTTTTATGACCTACCATGAACCCCCTCATTGCATAGATGAAACCTACACCGGTATATGAAAGCTATATCTTTTGCTTATCATTCCAACTTCTCATTATGCATCATTTGTAGAAATCTGTTTCATGAGGTATCGAAAGAGGCAACGGTAAGCATATGGTTTTCTCTGTAAAATGACCCCCTGACCCCCTTGAGGAGGGGGCCCTAAAACGTTTTAGGGTGATGGTGGACCCCCACCATTTTACAGAGCAAATGGACAGGAGGATGTTTTACCTCTCACTTCCCACTGGGCCCTGCTGGCAACTACAAAAAGATCGCTTCCCTGCACCGGCTTGCAACGAACGAAGTGCTAATGAGACTTGCATCCATCTCTCTCTCTCTCTCTCTCTTTCGGCAGCGTCTGGCTACAACGCAGCCGTCCCACAGGGCCTCCATGTTTGGTCGAATTCTCAGCCTGTGATCAACAACAACAACATACATACAAATAGGTAGCCCAATCAAGCTTTCCCCCAAGGGCTCACCTCATCTGGCACAAGTTCATGCCATTCAATAGTGTGCCCGCTTCACAGCGGAAGCCAGGTTTCCATGAGGACCCTGCTTCCGAGGGTTGGCCCGATAAGCCCGGTTGGGCATATGAGACCCACAATCCCAAGATGAAGGGCAACCTATGGGCTGCCTATAGAAACCTCTAGAAACAACCTATAGGTTGCCTGCCAACTTACTTGCAGTAGGTCTTGTGCAATCAAAACAGTGTGAACGCTGAGTAAAACAAGCCCATTGAATATATAATATAACCATGCGTTTAGAAAACATATTCCAGCACACTCTATCCTGCAAGTATACGCTATGGTGTTTCGACTTCCTGGTTTGCTCATCACCTTCTATCTGCTATTTGAACAAAAATACGTCTCGACTTCAACAACTGGCAGTAGGCCTTGAAACGTTGACTCCATTCTTCCCATGGTGTGTAGTCACTATAGTCCCCATTGTATGTTGGTGGTGCTATCTGTCTTCCGATGTCTGCATCGGCTGCAATTATCCGACGTAGGCGCTGCACCGTTTGCTGTTGCAGTGGGTGCTGAGGCTGTTGCCATGTTCTGTAGTCTGTCGATGCTTGCTCTGCTTGTAGTAGTGAGTGCGCAGTGGCTAATACGTAGCTGGAGCCGAAGCTCCGCGACCATGTTAAAATTGACGACTTACTTGTTTAGCCAGAGTTTGCAGTTGGGGCTTGTAGACAGGCCGAAAGGCTCAATCAAGGATCAGTATATCATGTGTAGAGATACCTCCTCTACAGCCTTCCTAACATCTCACTCTCTGCAGAGTGCAGCTGTCACATGTGTAGAAGACCTTGAACTCTCTAGCGCGAGGGAGAGCTCAATCAGAAGGCTCCACAAATCTCTGTTCCTTTCTGATTGCGTGTGCTTGAAGGAAATGCACTGAAAAAAACAGTATATATGTATAAACAATACATAACACACATCTTTAAAGACTACCGCATCCGGCTCCAATATGACAAAGTCGTCAAGCCCGTCTTGATCTCCTGCCCGGTCGCTAATGATAGCTCGGTTGTCGACGGGATTTTTCTTCTTCTGCTTGCGGGTGCCTCAGCTAACCACAACTGTCAAGATCTGCTGCAATGATTCTGGGACACTTGTTGCATTTGTGCAGTATGTATATGGTTTGATTAGATTGTGGTTGTATAATTACATCACATCCAAGATTTACATGCATTGTGTCATTGCAATCGGCAAAATCAGATTTTTATGTCTGAGGGCCCTCACCGGTCTGCAAGCGGTTGAAGAGTGTGGACTTCCCGACGTTGGGCCTCCCAATGATAGCAATAGGAATGGGCTCCAAGTCCTTGCCAGACACACCGTCCCAGGCGAACTCTGTGTACTGGGATGCTACATGCGCCGTGGAAGTGCAGCTATGCACGCACTCGCGCACACACAGCGCGCATAGTGGAAGAATATGTTATTACGCGTGTCTGTGCACCGTGCATTTGCATCATCAATGGTACGGTGTGCGAATCTGTTCCTGCTATGGTCCGGCTCCATTTGATGGATGGGAATGGCTAGTGGAGCTCTGTCTCGCACTGCATTTTGACATGAAATGAGGCCACTCCGGGTATTATGCATGGCTGACTATGACAGGCAATGAAATGTAATATGTAGAGATATGTACAGGCATGACGAGAGAGTGCTTTCTTTTGGCAGACCCGGCAAAACTCTGATTGCAAAGTCCTACTGTAGCCGTTCGTTTGTTCCAGGTCCTCTGGAATTTCACGCTGAAAACGATGCGCCGGTATTCGCATAGCAAAAGATCGAATCAGTGGGAGTTGCCTGCCAGCTAAAGGTAAACTGTATCCTCTGTGCATCGCTGCATCTATATCCTAAATCAGGTGTGTAAAGGCGTCCTTCAACTTTGCCAGCTCTTGCCACTTTTATTTGAAGCCACCCTGCATCCCTGAGTGAACGCTGATCTGTGTTGGCTGCATCCTCAACATGAAGCTCGTGCATCCTACTCAAATTCTGACAGCACTACGAGGAGTCTTGACGTAGATACCGCGGAGCGGCATGCGCGAGCTGTCATGTGCGAGGAAAACATGGCGCCAACCACGCTAGCCACTGAGCACTACGCCTCATTGGGAAAACAAGACCTAGCTGGCCGGCAGCTTCAAGCCGCCGACAACTCGGTTGCAGAAACCATATCCGCCAATTGAGCACTCCTGCTCAGAAGGTGGCGCAAATCCAGTGAAAATAAGTTGGCTTGCGTTCAACTTACATGTAAGCTACATCGGTTCTATATATATATATGTGGTTATAGTTATATATATATATGCATATAATCTGAGAAGGGAGGGGGCGAAAGCCAGCCTCTGGCTTAGGGGGTGCCCTCAGGGCAGGCCCAGGCAAAGACTTGGCGTGCAAGAGGAAGTGATGGTGTAACATCAATCGGGCAAAGGTTAATTTCATGGGATAAAGTTGACATCACAGCCACACTGATAGGGGATAGAAATTGAAAGTAGAAGACATAGGTTTGGGGGGGTGCCCTTTTTCGTCCCGGTTCAGAGGCGATTTGGGGGTGAAAAAGGGCACCCATAAGGAAGTGAGGCGCGCTTGCCGGCGGTGTGTTGCGAATCAGTGAGCAAACACGGCGGTGGCAGTTGCACAGTGGCCCGACGAAGCACGAGTCGGAATGAAATCCGTATATAGTTGACGTGACAAATTCAGCCTGCGAGTGAGAGAACGTTCGTGCATCCGCCCTAATCGTGAAACTTGTCACCTGCCTTTGCCAGGACAGGAGCCACTTGATCTTTGGTTCAAAGATGCCTCAAGCCATAGGCTGTGATTGATTATTGATATGCTCAATTGGTCACGCCCCTGGCTTTGGGCTGTAAACGCCCGCAATCTCTTCTCTCTCCTGCCTTCAACAACCCCCCATTCCACGTCAACTCCCACCCATGGGGAGTCTGAGTGCCCCCTTCAGTTCGGTTCTCTCGCAGGCCCTGAACAGATGGCATCATGCACCCCATGTGGGGTGCCCTCTTTAATCTTTTTTGACCTTGCTACGAAACAAAAGGGCACCTCTAAGCCATTCAGAACCTTCTGTCTCCAACGCTTGCCCGCTGCAATCCCTTCTCTCTCCTGCCCTCAACCCCACCACATAGGGAGTGCCCTCTTCAGTCCGGTTCTCTCGCTGGCCTTCAACAGATGGCATCATGCACCCCATGTCGGGTGCCCTTTTCAGTCCAGCACCTAGACCTTCCTACGACCAAAAAAGCACCCCTAAGCTATTCAGGACCTTCCGCCTCGCCCGCTGCAGTCTCTTCTCTCTCCTGCCCTAACCTGCCCCCAACAACCCCCCAATTCAAAAGTGAGCCCCCACCGCATAGGGAGTGCCCTCTTCAGTCCGACAGCAGCGCTAAGTTTAGCCGCGACTACAATCTATTCTCTTTCCATTGCCTCCCGAGCCCTCGTGATGCTGATGATGCACTCTTCGCCGTCAACTACATCACCGGCATCACAACACCCCTCAAACAACTCATTTTTCACTACCAAATGGCCTGCCTCTTTTTTTCGCTCTCCCCCACCAGGCTCTGGGTTCACCTTTCCAGAATTGGCCACCACGCAGCCCCCCCACACCCCCTTTACTCACTTCGTTCGCTGGCTTTCGTGATTATAGTTAGAAATATTATGACATATTATATATATATATACACATGCTCTCATGATGGCAAAGTGAGCTTGAGGAACTTGCAATCTGGACCCAGCACTATGCTCCTGTCATCTCGGAGGGTACTCGGGGGCGGGCCCCAGCCTCAGGGCCGCAAAAGGTGGCGCTTTGTCCGTTTTGTCCTCTGCTATACTGCTATACTACCCAACGCGATCACGCCTTTTCTGTCAGGTCCGCACCTCAAGGGCGTCATAGTGAACCCGCCCTCCATACAGGAGCCGTATTGGCTGCATGCCGTCTCCAAAGGAGGCGATTCGAACAAAATGGTCAGCTCTTCGTTCGAAGATCTCAATGCAGGCCTTGCGCAATTGTGCGCAAAGAGCTATCTCCATGGCACCGCCCCAGCGAGAACCCTCTCTCATGGAGCGGGCATAGGATTGTGGGTCCTCACCGGAATCCCACAAAACCCAGTCAGACACAGGATTTCCAGCCACCTCCTGAGATGGATTCGCAGCAATGAAGTCTGCTAGCTCTGCCCTCAGCGCAGCTGCACCTGAACCCTTTAATCCGTGGTTCAAGGAGTGGAACAAACATGAGCCGTCTCCTGGTTGTGGCAAGACCCGCACTGATGACCACTCAAACTTCACCACCTCCTGAGCCATCTTCACTGAGCCTGTCTTCTGGTAGTTCTCATAGGCATCTTTGTGATCATCTCGGGGCCGTTTAAAGTGAGGACACTCGTCTGTACCATGAGGTCCGTCACATTTGTCACATGGTCCCGTGGATTTCTGAAGTGGTTGTGGTGCTGCTGCAGGAGCCAAGGCCGCCAACAAGGCGAGCTGCGGTTCCTCAATCTGATCCCTTGGAGGCAGTCCAGCAGACTGCTCCAAACTCTTCTCCACAACTTGACGTGCTTTTCTGGCATCCTCCTTTTTGCGTTCCTCCCGAGCCTTTGCTAACCTTTCTTCCTCCTCGCGGAGCTGTGCCTGCCTCTCTTCCTCTTCACGAGCTTTTGCTAGCCTCTCTTCCTCTTCGCGACGCAGTTTTTCAAGCTGCTCCAGTTCCTTTTGACGCTCTAGCCTCTGGCTTTCCAAACGTTCCCGTTCCAAGCGCTCCCGCTCAAGCTCCACGTTTTCGGCATCTGCACCCTTCCCGTCCTCTTCCAGTCGAAAGGTCGCAGTATATTTTGCCATCTTCTGTGCAGAGGCTAATGCCTTCGAGACCTCCTCAGCCCCCAAACGTTGCCCGTTCACTCCAACTACTCTCCAACCCCGATGTACTTGGGATGTGGAGCTGCTGGTGACAACATTCCCCAGCTTTCCGCCCACCCGAAAAGGTGCTTGAGAGAGGCCCCGCAGCTCAACCACCACATCTTTGTCTGCAATTTTTGCCAGTGACGGAGTCAGAACTGTGTTCCGGCCACCTTTGGAGGACCGGTTTTCCAGTGCAATGCTCTGGCCTGCCAAGCTGATCCGGCTGCCCTCGCCTTTGGGCGCCATGGGCAAACGAACCGCGGCACATGTTCCTACACCATTCACCCAATGAATGAATCATACGTTTACTGTCCTGACATCATGCCAAAAGCATTGAGGAGCTGCTATTCCTCACGATCATGCCACCTACAAATGGTGCAATAAGTTATTATCTGCCTATGCAATCCCGCAATCAAATCCTATGCAAGTGTTGTCCGCCTTGAGCCTCGCTGGCTGCCATGCCAGGCATCTGATGCACTCCAACAGGATTTGAACATATTTGAATTTTTTCCCAGCTTGGGCCCCAGGCCAGTTTGGGGGTGGTCCAACTGTGCCACTCGCATAGCTATATTCGGGTGGGGCAAATCCCGGACGTGGTCCGGGTGCACCTGGTGGCGGCCCCGGATAGCCTGGAAACGACGGTGGCCCATGAGGAGGACCTTGTGGTGGTCCCTGAGGCGCTTGTGCATGGCCGTCTGGTGGAGGAGCTGAGGACTTCGAGAAGTGACGGGGATCGTCAGATTGAGGTGGAGCCTGTTGCGCTTGTGGTGGGGGTTGGGCAGGTGGAGCTTGTGGGCACAGACTTGGCGGGGGTGGTCCTGGAGGTGGTGGTCCTGCATAAGGAGGTCGCGCATATGCATGCCCCCAGGCATCGTGAGGAGGAGGATGGTAATAACCTGGTGGAGCTCCTGGTGGATAGCCTGGATAACCTGGATAGCCAGGGGGCGGTGGTCCGGGTGGTGGGTGTCCTGGTGGGTGCGCAGGTGCATGTGGCGGTGGATGTGCTGGCTGCGGTGGATATGCTGGATAGCTTGGAGGTGGTCGATCAGTGGGAGGAGTCTGCCATGGAGGTGGCTGCACAAATCCAGGTGGTGGTGCCAAGTCGCTGGGCGGCGTCCATGGCCCCGTTTGAGCTGGTGCGGCTGCTGCCGCCGCCGCTGCTGCTGCTGCTTGTGCTGGTGCTGCCTGGGTCTGGGATTCGTCGCCTTCTGGCTTCCAGCCATGGCCTGGAGATAGTGCAGCCGACTCTTCGTTCTCAGGTTTTTCGCTGGGTGCTCGACTGGTCTTCTTCTCCTTGCTGCCCTTTTTGTCTTTTTTCTTCTTATCTTTTTTCTTTCGAGAACGTGAGCGTGATCCGGATTTAGAGGCAGACTTGGATTGTCTCACCTTTCTGCGCGCAAGTTCTTCAGAATAGGCAGACTCCAAGATCTTCAGGTGGGCTATACACCTGCTGAAATGAGACACATCCTTGTTGCCCGGTTCCTTGAACTCAGCAAGTTCTCGGACAAACTTCTCGTTTTCAGCTGTCCTTGGTCATTGGTTGAGTTTGTGCTGGGGCCAAGGGCCAGGTGGTTCGAAGGGAAAATCTTGTGTTATCAGCTAACATCCGCACGCACACACTATCCGCAGTGTTAAGTGGACCAAAAAAGTGTGAATAAGCGAATTACCGCACCTGAGAGAACACACGTGGAATTCCACATGGCGGCACACATTTCAAGAGGAAAACATACACATGAAGGCAAAGGTACGAGTGAGCACTCATGTGACAGCACATGCATGAAAGCACACATGGACATAAAACAGCACACATGCGACCACTCACGTGAAAGCGACAAATGAGGGCACACATAGAAAAGCACACGTGTCAGGAGCACGCAACAGCACACATTGAGGCACACATGTGAGAGCACATGCCTCGAGGATCACAAGACTCGCAAGACTCACAAGACGCTGCGTCTCGACATCAACACTCCGACACAGCGCTGCGCCTGCCATGAAATCTGCACTCCGCAGTCCACAACGCGCTGTATATGCGACGAAAATTGATGAAATCTGCGTGTCAAGGTGCCACAAGCCTGACACGAAATGTGGGCCTGCCACGAAATCAGCACTTCGAGGTTAACAAGTCGCTGCACCTACCACGAAAATCTGCACAGATTTCGGGGCTTTAAACGCCCCGGGCCTGCCACGAAAACTCACAAGCACTGCGCTTGCCACGACATCTGCACATCAAAATTCACATCGCGCAGCCCTGCAGGTGCGTTTCGCAACGGAAGCACTTTCAAAAACAAGATCAGAAAAGCAAGAAAAGACATATTCGAGCGATACTTCTTGCAACTTCTTAAAGCGAACCACGCAAAAGTTCACAATTCACTTCACCTGCCACGAAGTCAGGGCACGTCAAACTCCGATCTCCTGGACGTGACCTGCCGCAAAAAAGTTGGCTTCAGACCACCAAAGCGCCAGGATTCCCTTGCGCCTGCCATGGGAAGGGGCCACCAAGTCCGAAAATGCACACAGCGCCACAATGAGAGCGCCGTCGGAAAGCACCCTCTTGGGTCGGTACGTAAGTTTGTGCGAGCCTGCGCAGTTGAAATGCAGTTCGACGATCTCAAGCGGCACGGACGTGTGACGTGCTGTAAGCGGCAGAATTAGCTGCCCTCGGATGTGAGAACCCTCGATCAAACCCAGCCTGTCCACAGCTTGGGGAACAAGCACACAACGTATATAAGATTGTACAACATGGCCCATGGCCTTTCTATAACCCTTTCATTAACTCTTGAAGTTCAGTCTTGCAGCAAGCCTCTTAGTCATGACCACTACCCCGCCCTCACTGCCAGGAAGTTCACCATCAAAGGCTAATCGGAATTCCAAGGGCTCACCCAGCTTGTCGCCAAGCTTTCGTATTCGTCCTGGCATGAGGCTAAGCCGTTCCAACGTGGAGACGCGGACGTAACCTTGTTTCTTGGACTCGTTCTGGCCTCCTGGATGGGCGTTTTATTGTCAATGTGGTGTGATGTTGTGTGTCAATGTAGTAGTGCATTGGTACTCATTTCCACTAGTAAGTCATATCATGTCCAACTAACTAAGACATACTGACATGGAAATTACGTTGACAATGCCAAGGGTTCAAATCCTGTATCTCTATTTTGATGTCTTCTTAATATACCCTAATTCGCTTCCGGGTTTTCTGTCATTGTGTTTCCTCGGGCAGCAAGGACGGTGTCAACCCGTTCAGCTACTACTGCATCCAAGCGTTGCAGCTGCTGGTTGAGCGCCTTGACTCCAGCGCCCCCAGCCATGGATTCATCCACCGCCTGGGTGCCGATTAGAAAAAACATGGTTGGGTGGCGTTGTCGGTGAGTTTAGGACGACAAATCGTAGAGGCACACAATAGCGTCAAGCAGCAAAGTCGGCTTCGTTCACATGCAGCCGCTTGCATTCCTTTTGCACCTTTGTGCGCAGGTCCTGTGGCCGAGCATGAGCCTGTACGGATCTCCACGGTACACCTGCTGCATGTTGGTCATTCATTATCATAAATAACTTGGAACAAAGCGAGCTTAGAATGACAATGTGCAATGCAGAAAAAGAACGTGTCGCACCTCGCACTTCGCAGAAACAATGAAACGGTAGTCTTATAGTTTATAGTTTTGGCATTCTTTAGCTGTAGCTTCAACCCTTCTTATGGTGGAAAAATATGGAAACATATATTCAGCCTTTGGAAATGCTCAGCAATGTTCATGAACCATGGCGTGCGCGCCTTCCACTGTTCCACCCGACATGGATGTTCGTAATCCCACACAGACATGACGGCACTCCTGGACCTCAAGGCCTTGCCGTGCTCGCAGCTTGGTCAATCGCTCGAGCTGCGCTTTGAGGCCACTTCTCTGCTGGGAGATTGGCTCCTTCTCCTAACAAGGAGTGCAACAATGCTTAATGATGTATGCATATTTAATCAATAGTAATTTTTAAAAATCAAAGATTCTACACTATACGTATACTATATAGTATGTATATATAGTGTTATGATGTATTATGATGTGTTTTACCTCTTTAGCTGAGCAGTTTTTTTTGGCCGTGGGCTGCCCTCGTACTACTTACTGTGATTCAACAAGGGCTAGTTACTAGCTTCCTTGAAGAAGCGCTCGCACTATCCATGTGGTTACTAGCCTTCGGTGTACCAGGCCATGACATGCCATTTGACGGCATTTGCACCAAGCCTTTCGACTTGTAGAACGCGGACATATTCTGGCTTCAGGCGATTCAAGACGAGGCCCGTCCAACATCATACTAACAGCCCAACCACTGCCAGACTGACATTATTATATAATTGTCAGACTGCTCTCGCAGCACTCCTGTTTGACAGGAGGAGCCTCGCCCACCTCCTTGGCCAGCTTTCCAGTCTCATCAAGGGCCTTGCAAAGGTTGCATCGCAAAGATGTCCTTTAAACATAGCGTTTTGATCGAGATCTGTCTTTTTTCATAATTGATCTCTAGTGGGCTCCCTACTCTTGTCAAGTGGTAAGGCAAAGAAATGCGAACAATGCCCAAGACCACCGTCTTGCTGATTCTTAGCACGTCTGGCCTTGTCCAGCTTGTCCCGGCACTTTTGGAGCCAGTTGCGCTCACTTTCGAGGATGGGGCCTTTCAAGGAGGCCCTTGGTTGTCCTTAGATTCTCCTTCACTAGTACCATCAAATTGCTAGAAGCATCAGCGCTGGTAACACTTCTGGCAAGAACACCCACATCTTTCTAGTCACTTGTGGCTGCTGCCACTCTCATGTCTTAAGTCTTTCAAAGGCCATTCTTTCCAGTCATTCTGCACCGGCCTAGCTTTGTGCGCACGGTGTTGGCACGGTTCTGGGCGTCCTCCGCAGAGAGCTCTGGGCTACACCAAATCTTCGAGAGCTCCGTCAGCATCGAGGCCACGTCCTTGGAGACTG